CTTTTCATCATATTAGCAAACATCGCGGACGATCAGCCTAAAATGAAGCAGAAACTTTTTCACATTTCCGCGCCAGGAAGGTAAGGATGGTTTCTTCGCCCGGTGTGTTGACTGCCAGGCACAGCCCCGTTCCCGGAAACTTTTTCTCCGACAAAGTTAAACAGTTAAGTTTTCAGGTGATCCTTGTACCATAAAGGTTAATGTAGACATATCCCTTAAAATGTAGCGTAAAAACTAAAGATATTATTAAAGACGTTTGTTTCCATATAAAAGAAGTAAGTCTGACAGTCAAAATTTAGGGTAAATAATGACATAATATTTGACACTTTTTCTGCAACTTTATTTACAAAGACAAAGTTACACAAAACATAAAACAGTGACAGGAATAAAGAACAAGACAGAGGGATTAAAAATCACATGTGCAGTTTATCCTAATCTGGTACAGATTAACGAACTGCCTGAAATAAAATAGTAGTTATTTAAACACTTTTAATTAATCTTAAACAGAAAAAAAAGCTTTATTTCTGCTTAATCATTTTATTCTATAACTATTAGATATTAAATCAGAATCAGACATACTTTAATAATCCCAGAGGGAAATTACTTTTACTTTTTATTTCCCCCTGGGATTATTAAAGTACGTCTGATTCTGATGAATTCTGAATATATATTAAAATGCCGAAATTAAAAACGCTTTTTTTTTTAGAAATATATATTTCTATATACAAAAATATAATTTATCATTGTCTGACCTGTTTTGAAATGAAATGGGAGACACATACACACACACACACAAAAAAAAAAACACAATCAAATTCAGATATCACTCATATAAAAATTAATTTAAGACATTATCTACTAAATTGTAGCAATTTAAACATTAATTATTCTATTCCAACTGGTATTAGCTGTTTATTCTAATTTAACCACAGCGACTTCTTGTGGACAGTTAAAAAATATTCCAGGATATTAATAGAGATATTAAAGTGAAACATTAGAAACCCTGGTAGTTTTACATTAAAACAAATTATATACATATATATGTATATATATATATATAAAAAGATGTGTGTGTATATAAGATAGATGGATGTATAGATAGATGTATATATATAAAAGATGTATTTGTGGTCTTTGATCGGTCTAGGAGTATTTTATGGGGTCTACTGAGGTAAAAGAGAGGATAGGAAGACAAACATTGTTATATAATCTGATTGATTATTGGTCTAGTTGATCGTTTTAACCCTGTAAAGATCAATTTGTTTTTTCTTTTAAAGTTAAAAAATTATCAGATATTTATTGCTAAATTTTTCACAGGTGAGAATTTTCCTAAGACACAATTTCAATGTAATTCGCTCAGATCCTCAGTTCATCACCAACGTTATCCCGATGCAATTATGAGGAAAACGAATCGCATTTCATATCAGAAAAATATCAGTTCAAAGGAGAAAATAACAACTTCCTCACTTTCTTCAAGTGTTTTACACCTTCCTTCTCAGAAAATGAAACAATATTCAGGTCTCTTATTTCCCCCAAGAGGAACTACGATCTAACTAGTTGTCAGGATCTTATTTTGGTTTAAAGCAAAGTTCTGCCACATCAACAGCTGTATTCAGGTGATTTAGAGAAAGTCAAAATGTTTGGTATGAGCAACCATAGAGCACCAACAGGCAGACACCTGAACAACTTTTGTATCGGTTAATGTCCGATAAGTCAGTGGAGAGTGAGCGTCCCCACAGCAATGGTTAGGTTTAAGAAAAACATAGCTTTTATAATAAATTATTAAAATGTTATTTTGTGAATCCCTCGACATACAATCAGAAAAATAGAACAAAACATAAGAATTAACATTATCCTTTACATAAGAACCTGAAGTGCATTTTATCATCTCTTGCTCCATCATCCATCCATCCATCCATCCATC